GCAAGTGAAGCTTAGATAGATTAAATCTACTTGAGAGATAAGTTTTAGCATCCTTAAAACAATCCCTATCATTCATTCCAGTAGGCGGCTTGTTGTGTGAGGGTTATCAAACTATCATTTATTCATTGTTCTTACCGTTTTTCATTGTCTTAACATTTATATCATTTTCAACATTATAATATGCTCTTTGCCACTACATTTTCATCTACTACCACATCATACTATCAATCCATATCCATCAACATATATTTTTTATTGTCATGACATTCTTCATTGGTACATATCATCTCTAACTATACTTAGATAGAGTAGTGCTTTGCTTTAGTTAAACTTTGTAATTTTCACCAATCCCTGTGGAGACAATACTCACTCGTCACTTTATTACTTGAGTGATTGTCTATACTTGCACATTATTTGTGTATAATTTTATAGTACTCACAAAATGCAATAACCCTAGAGGCGTCCTAAATACTCTTGAGGAGTAGATTAGTCGAGTGTATTTTTTCGATGTTGTGCGACTCCAGATCTCACCCTAGGTACTTGGCAATGAGGGATTTTTTAGATAAAGATTATGATATTGTGTGACCTAGGTCTTATTTAGAGTACCTTTGGTAGGCTAGAGGGTGCGAGTCCCGAATGTTGTGTATCCCTGCACTACACCATGATGCATATCTCTACTTGTGTGTTGATGTATTTATGTTATCCATGATCGATACCTGATAGTTATGTGAAATTGAGAGATTATTTGTATAATTGGTGAGAATTTTATCGATGCTTCATGATGATTGAGTCCCCCATATATGATTCGTACCTGATGACTATTATGATATTGGTATTATCATTGTGTTTGTGTGATGATTGGTTGTTGCATATGATGATGGCATTGCTAGTATTGCTTATCTGATTGTACTAGTTAGCATTCTTATGTTGTGAATGCATGTAGTATAGTATAGGTATTGTGTGGCATGGGACTTGCTAACTTAGCATTCTGAATATGTTTTCGTTAGTAGGTTACAAGTCACGCAGAGTGCGATTAGACAATAATATCATTAGAGGAGTCTCAGCGGAGTACCAGAGTACAGTGATGATAACTTTGAGAGCATGTAGAGATTATGATTTATAAAAGAGTCAAGTTGTAATATTTTATTTATTTATGTATTGAGTTTTTAAATTAGGGTCTCGCATTTGTAAATTTACTTGGTGTAAATGTTTAAAAATGAATATGATTTAAAAAAAGGTTAGTCACTTCGATCATTCTGTGTGGTACACAAACCCATGAGATTAGGGTATTACAATGTCTGGTGCTAGGGGTGTTCAATTGGTTAATTCGTTAACCTACCAAACCGAATTACCCAAAATTCATTAACCAAATTTTTCCCCTTTAATTGTTAATCGGACCGAACTAATTTAGGTTATTGGTTGGTTAATCGAATTAACCGAAATATATAAATAATATATATTATGTATTAAATATTTCATATTTTTTATTTATTCTATTAATTCGGTCGGTTAATTCGGTTAAATCCAAAATTTAAACACCTCTAAAACTAAATAATATATATAATATATTAAAAATTAACCATTAATCGTTAAATGACCGAACCTAAAATTAACCGACCGATTAACCGACTGAAATTTTGGTGCAATTGCAACCAATTTGCAAAAGAAGCAGCCACAACTGAAACCAAGCCGCAATTAGTGGGAAAGGTCCCACGGAACATATTGATGCAACACATTATGGAAAGCACCACAAAAATAAGCCAATGATAGAAGTCCGACAAACATAAATATCAAAATTCAAAGTATGTCAAACAGAAATCCCAGACACACTCGAGGAGATCAAGAATTTGAATCAGCAAAAGCATGCATCTTGGTCAAATTCAACCGACAATGAAGGCTAAAATCGAAAAGGTGGGTAATCTTAAGGTCCCTCGGATAAAAAAAAAGTAATGACGAAAAACAGGTCCTGGTGTTTATAATTGTTTTTACTTGGTAAATTTATTTTATTAAGAATTTAAAGAAATAAACTTAAAACCTACGCTTATTTGGAAGAAAATAATACAACATAATTAGGTAAATGATACAACGCGACAGCTGATTATACGGATAATCACCTACAAAAGCAACTGAACAATACATTTAAATTTTCACCATTTCGCAATTACACTCCCGACCCATGCAAGCGAAACTCTTACCTCCAAGCGATCATCTCCTTGAATCCTCCAACAACTTTAAACTTGAGTTCACCCTCCAGGGGTGGAACCCTAACCGAAGATGGCTGGTCACTTGAGAAGATCGAAAGACTACTAGAAGATTAGACCACCATTTCCCCTCGCACAACACTACCTTATCATTCACTTCATTGTTCCAATTAATTTAGATTAAAATGTTACTAATGCTCAATCTCACATAGTATTGAAAATACTATTGGGAATGGGTATTTATGTTTTGAATTTCCCACTTCTTTGTTAAGTGAAAGAGAACAAGGGGGACTCTCGCGCACCGCCGCCGTCGCCGTCCGTCTCGTCTATAAATAGAGAGCTATATTCAGCTTCTCAACTCACTCTCAACATTTCAGAATTCACTCTCCAAGTGTTTTCTAAAGTTCTCTCTGTGTACTTTCCGATCAGAAGTGCAATACCATCAGCAGTCTACTCCAGTTTCTGGTGTACGAAATTCGGAGCGATTGTGTTAACCTCGGGGGACGGTCCGCCTACTGCACTGATTACACACATCGGTGCGAATTTATTTCTAAGGCAGTGGTTATACCACGACACGGTTTACCAATCTGTTCTTTTTTAATTATTGTTTATCTTTCCTGTCAGTACTAACGATGTGGTTTTATAGTCTATTTTACCAACATAAAACAACACATCCTGGGGGAGTATGCTGTACCCTTGAACAACTTGTTGTGACCTCTGAAGCATTTGAGCTCCAACTTAAAAGAGATGAAACAGATAAGGCTGGAACAACTTGTTGCCTCAAGAAAATCAGAATAAATTAAAGCTGGCAGGTTTGAAGAAGTAGAACCAAAGATTATTAAATCTAACAAGTCAATATCAAGTATACCGCAAGAGAGGCAAAAAGAAGCAAAGAAAGATGCCATTTTCAGCAGTCCTCGAGAAGATGAATGCGAAGACCTAAACAAATGACAAGCTTTAGTTCATAAAGATAGTGTAAATTTATAATTATTAACCAATTATATGATACAAATGAAACCATTTTCATTCATCTGAGTAGAGGCTAAATTACTCTTTTGATCTTATGCAGGGTCAAACTTTACTGTCAATGGTTACAAATGAACAACAAAATCAAAAACCTGCTTTTGGAATAGCCAATGACAACCAGTTTAAGAAAAGGGCATCTGATCCAATATATAGTAAGGGCTAATTTAGTATAGTTTTTTAAAAATGACTTTTCAAAAGTGACTTTTTAAAAGTGTTGTAAAAATGAATTTTATAAAGTGTTTATATGAAAGTATAATTTAAAATTTAATTGTTTGGGAATGTTATTAAAAAGTGAGTTTGAAAAGATAAAATGTTCATTATAGATATTATATTGTAAATTAAAAATATAGAATTTAAATCATATTAATTTAAATTATATTAAATTTTAAAAAAAATATTATTATATATGGATTATATCAATTTAAAAAATGATAAATATAAAAAAAATAAATATAAATATAATTATGATAAAAAATTATTTTATATAACTCACTATTAATATTTTAGTATATAAATCATGAATTTTATTTATTTTTGAATAACTAAAATAAATTATTAAAAGTAATAATTTATTTTTCTAAGGATTTTAAAATTAAATTATTAAAAATAAAATGTAAATACATAATTGAGTGGACCTTATGCATTAGTAAAAGTAAAATTATAATTTGTTTCCAAACGCTATAATTTATTTCCAACTGCTTTTGTAGTTGGTTTAAAACTATTTTTTCTACCGTAATTTTTTTTAATTTTTTTAACTTGCTCGACATTAATTTTACGGTCAAAAGTATGCATTTTAAAATCATAATAGTTTTTTTAAATTAAAAGTACTTTTAGAAAGCTTTATCAAACAAACAGTAAGTCGATAAAACACTAAGGGTCAGTTTTTTCACTGAAAACAGTTTTCGGAAAATGAAATCTGGAAAATGAATTATATTTCTAAAAAACATTTTTCAGAAACTATTTTTCAGTGTTTGGATGGTACATTATAAAATGTTTTACACTGTTTGGTTAATTTTTCTGAAAACAGTTTTCAGAATCTATTTTTAATAAAGAAACATACATATTCGATATGTTTTTATTCTTTACCTTAGTTTTAAAGGTTCATTTTATTTTTATATAATTATATTTTATAAAAATATGTATTTTTATAAGTACGTCAAACTAAATTTTTAGATAATCTTAATAATTTATGTTGATTGTATTATAAATACACTATTTTAGGTTTAAAATCTTCACGATGCTTATTCATTCGTATTTTTAGAAATGAATTTCAACGTATGATTAATATTATGAAGGTTTATTTGATATAATATTAATAATTGATTAAAAATATATTATAAAAGTTTATAAATATTATGTAGGTTTAATTAGTAGTATACCACATTAAAACAACAATAGTATATAACATTGTAATAATAATAGTGTCAAAATATATAATTAAAGGGTTTATCACATTAAAACAACAATAATATCCAACCATAATAATACAAAGTCTAATTCATACATATCGCAAATGTTTCTCAGCCTAACAACAGTGATTTTCAACAATGCATCATGCATCTTCATATGCATATTAAAAACTGCAGTAGATCTCATGTCTTATACCTTACACAAGCTATAAGCAGTATAAATGTATATATGGTCCCAAAAAAAGAGTTAAACATACATATTGCAAATGTTTCAGCAATATTAATCTAGAGACAATTCCATAAAGTTTATCTTTACAAGTTGAGAAAAAATATTTCTTTGGATGAAACCAGTAAAATTATGTAATTCAACTGAAAGCCCTAATCTTGAAATCTTACCAACTTTTCTGAAGGATCAAGAGTCCAATGATCTTTGCTCGAGTTATTAGAGATGTTGACAGCATCATGTTGAGACAATCTTGAGTGCATCTCCCACATAAATTCTTCTTCCTCACAATTTTTCCAGCTGCTGTGCGTCGCATTACTGCTTCTACCAGAAATGTTCCGTCTTGCCAATAAACGAGGATCAGCCTTCCAGACTTGGATGCCGGGTAATTTTGAGATCCATGTTTAATATTGAAACCATTCCTCTGGCTGGAAATAGCCTCAGTAACTCTGGCTCTTCCAACACCCACACCTTTAGTCTGTGAAAGATCAGTAACACCAATGTTCTTATTACAAACAACATATTTATATGCATCTCTATGATAACACCGGATTTTCTGACAACATCAAAATAGAAGCAGAAAGTGAAAAGGTAATAAACATATTAAAACAAACTTTGAAACACCTCTCATACATTCATTTTAACACAAGGATCTCCATATGGCTGTCCAGCTGTAATGGCTGCTCTATCCGGCCTCTCATAATCCTCCTTTGAGTTTGCCAATGTTCCAGTCATATCATTGACCATAACTTTTGCCTTCATCACACAAAAGCAAATCAATAGAAAATCCCGTATAATGAAGGCATTAAATCTATCACATAGAGCTGAGAGAAATTAAGGAAGTTAAAATCAAGACAAGGTCACAAGGACCAAAAGAATTGGCAACAGTGGCATTGATATGATTCCACAAAGGACTAGAAAGGAATGATAGTGGGAATCTCAAAATTTCGGATATGAATCTTTAACAAACAAGGTGAAGAAAATACGGGAGTAAAAGTATTTAAAGTGCTAGCTTTATAAACATAAGCGATCTCCAAATTCAATAAATGCTTCAGAAATATACTGAAAAGCACTTGAATGAATCTTTAACAAAATAGAGGACAAGATGATTGTAGAATTTACCCTGATAGACTGTTGAAGTCGCTGCCTTTCTAGATACTTTGGATTTACATGAATGCTATGTGGTGGACGCTGTGAAAGTAGATCGGGTCTTGATGTTGTCGTTCCTGAAGATGAACCATTTATCATGGGAGCAGAGCCAAGTTCCTTTTCAATCACCTGGAGGGTCGGAGGAGGGAATACCCCTTTCCATGTTCCAAAAAATGACGCATACTTTGACGCACAGGAGGATCAACTTGTCTATATGCATTGCAGAACACCTAAGTCCAGCAGTCAAAATGGTATGGATCATACACTTGAAACATGAGTATCAACTTCATTCTATACAAGCACAAAATTAACATACAAAGAAGATTTCAGCATTTTGAAGAGTTTAAGATCCTAAGCACATAAAGGTGGCAACTGGATGTGTATATTTGTCAAAGCGTATAGTGTTTTCATTGGGAACAAAGTCTTCTGCAGTTTTTCAAACAATAATCAATCAAACATAAGCATACTACAAGAAATTTTGCCAGATGTCCCATTCAGTAATGATGGAATCAAAAGAAAAATAATGAAACCTAACATGTGGCAATCTGGCAGCAAAATGTTTAATGTAATCTCTCCCAATATTCTTTACAATACTGTCCCAATATTTCGTTAAACGCGGTTTTTTCAAACGGGGTCCTCTTGATTTATCAAACGACCTACGCGGATTCTCCATATTGAATTCAAAAACCCTAAATCATTGAGGACTCGTAATTCCATCTCAATGAAATCAGCAAATAAAAAAAACTGAACCAGTACAATAATAAATATAAGTCCAAGAATTACAGAGCTGGAATGTACAATGAGGGAAAAACATAAAATCCTCGGACTAAATTATATACAGCAACAAAAAGGAAAGACAAACTAAACTCTAATTTTCTAAAAAGTAAAGAACCAATAATTGTCTATATAAAGAGGGAACAAAGAGAAAGGGGGAATTAGGGATTTATTTGGAAGTGAAAGGGGTGATATACATGAGCGTGAAACAGCGAAAGTTGAACGGAGAAAATGAAGAAACATCTACTAATAAGGAGGTCAAGGAAGATGAAAATGGAGAAGATGAAAAGAAAGACACTTGAGAAGACGACAGTTCACCTCGTCAAAGAGAAGGAGACCACTAAATCGCTCGATTTTTCGGTGTGGAGCAAGGGGCGAGAAAACGAAGGAAAATGACTTATCCTTTTCCAAACAGTAAGTCATTTTACCTTGTTTTGCTTTGAGTTTTCCGTTGACATTAAAACAAATTCCACTGACCCTCTTGTTTTGCGGGAACCAAACATAGAAAAACGAGGAAAATATTTTTTGTAAAATATTTTCTCCCAGCTGTCGCGGTCGTCTTTTGGTTGGGTTCGGAATTGAGTTTCGACTTGAATAATTGGGTCGGAGTCGTCACCGATCATTTTAAACGATATTTAGGTAGATCGGACACCATCTTACATGATCTACGTTTTATCATAAATGTGTCGGGTTCGGGAGTCAGTTACGGTCAATGAAAGATTAGCACCCTTGAACCACCCTTTCGGTACCAATTAATTTGTCGGTTGTCTTAATTACAAAAATTTGAAATTTAAAATAAAATTTTAAAAATCTGATTCAAATTACTTACCTCTGATTGGTTGGAATTCTTCTAAAAAAGGTCAAGGATGTTAGAAAAAAAATTAAATAAACCTAGGAATGAAATAAATAAAAATAATAATAATAATAAATAAAATACTAGATAATAAATCAAAAAAGAAGAAAAGAAAAAAAATAAGGAGTAAATAAAAAAAGTCAAAAGAAAAAAGAAATGAATATAAATTAAAGAAAGTAAAAAAATAAAAAAAATGAGGAAAACCCAACATAAAAGATAAAAATTCAAAAGAATAATAAATAAAAATAAATAAATAAAATTGAAAAAAAATATAATAATAATAAAATATGCGCGAGTGACGAAATTAGAAGAAAATAAAAATGGAAGGTCGAATTGAAAGAAGAATTTTCGGGACCAAATAAATACATGGAAAACACGGGGGACCAAACGTATAATTTCCCCCCTTTAAACTATGAATACACGAGGATCCCCTTATTCGGGTCGGGTCGGGTCGGGTCGAACACGGGTCAACCCGTGGGTTGGTATATAACCCAAAAAATAAGCCCAAATCCTTCATTTTCCTCATTCTCTCAAAAGAACATACCCCCTCCTCACTCAAAACCTCTCAACTCACCCCCAGAACATGGCCATGCACTCCACCGCTCGTGCCGCTCCGACAACCACCTCCTGTGGTTGGAAAAATCTAAATAGCCCCTTTGAAAAGCCCTTACCACCAATAATACAACCCCACAACCCGAATCCTAAAATCCCCCTTAAATCGGCATAGATCTAACGAAAACCCTTTCAAATTTTACCTTTTCTTGCTTCTCCGGTGGTCTTTTCGGTTGGGTGATACGCTCTTTTTTAATGATATTTTTGTTGCTTTGTTTGTTTCCTTTGTTTTGTTGTATATGGGTATTTTTCTGGTGGTTTGCTTGTTGGCTTCAATGTTTCGATTGCCTTTGTTGTTAATGTATTTTGGGTTCGATCTGGTTGATGATCGATAATGCTCTCTTGGTTTTCTCTGTTGGTTTTGTGGTTGTACTCTGATGATTTGTTGGCCGATTCCACTGTCAGTTTTTTGATGTCCCTGTTGCAGTGTTGTGGTGGGGTATTTATACCCACCACTGACCGTTCGTCTGTTTCGAAATACGGGGCTCATTGGCTATTATGGTCGGTCATCCCGGGATGGGTCAGTCCCAGGATTTTCGTCGGCCATTTCGCACCAGACCCTTTGATTTCCCCCTTGTGCGGCGCTGACTGTGTAACCCTAATATGCTTTTGGGTCTGACCGGGTCTGCTGGGTCAGGCTATCCGGTTGGGCCCACTGGACTTGGACTGAACCCTATTAGACCTAAAACAAAAACATAAAATAAATAAATAATAAAATAAAATAAAATAAATAAATAGATAAATATTGTTGGAACCGTCTTTCGGTTGGGCCCCAGAATTGGGCTTCGACTTGAATTGATTAGGTTAGAGTCGCCACAGACCATTTTAAAATGAATTTAGGTGGGTCGGACACCATCTTACCTGATATGCGTTGTACCAGAAACATGACGGGTTCGGGAGTCGGTTACGATCAAGGAAGGATTAGTACCCTTGAACCGCCCTTTCGGTACCAATTAATTTGTCGGTTGTCTTTATTTGCGAAAATTAAAAATTAAAATTAAAATTCAAAAATTCAATTCGAATTAATTACTTCGATTGATTAAAACCTCTCCTAAAAAGTCAAGAATATTGTTAGATTGTAAAAATAAAAATAAATGTAAAAAACGAAAAAGAAAAAGAAAAATAATAATATTAATATTAATATTAATATAATAATACTAATAAAATAAAATAGATGAATAAAATTAATAAAAATAATAAAAAAACGAAATAAATAATAAAAAAAAGAAAAAAAAAAGAAAATGCAAAAAATTCAAATAACTTATTAAGTAAATTTGCTTTACAGGTGACTTGCACGAAATCCTTGTTCTTGGAGATTTGTTGCTTTACATTTGCAAGGTTAACACGTAATATCTAAGGTATAAGTAAATTTCTTCCATAAGAATAAAGGAAAAAAACCTGGGGCTCCAAAAACAAACCTTCGTTATTGTGACCACAACCCAAAGCGATTCCTTTGATGTTTCCGGAGTTACCGAACGACACCGTTTTTGTGACAAAATCATCGACTGTGTAGGACCCATCTCCGTATGAGACTTGGTAAGGGCATTTCCCGCTAGGGTAAGCAAAAACTTTGAGAGAAGTACACTGCCTTGACTCGTAAGTAACCGGACTGTAACTGGAGGATTTCGATGGGTTGAAAATCGGGTCAGATTATTGGTAACAGTCGGCACAGGGTTCACATTGGATCCATTTACCATCACTCCCAATATCGAGAACCGCGTAGTATTGTTTAGCTGGGTTATCGAATCCGACCCTAGTGAAATACTCCCCACTTCCTTAACTTGTCTCGGAAATAATGGGAATAAAAAAAGCCTCAGCTTGGATCTCGGTTGGCACCGGCTTCAACTAGGATTTCTTGATTCCAGTAAGAGCAAAGAGGAGTTTGGCGTTGAGTGAGTCGACACAATTGTAATCAAGCTCGAGTAAGGATAGCACAAGATTCTTGTAGTCGACGTTGTGGCTCCATGTATTCCTCACTCGACCACCACCATCGGTCATCTTTATACACCAATGGAAAAGAAACGAATTCAAAAGCTCGAAACCAAAATCAAGTTGATTTTGAAGTAAAAATGGAAATTGAATGAGTGGTGGTGTGAGTCGTAGAGTCCCCTGCTGCCTTTGTTTTTGCTTCTCCCTTCTCTCCTTCTTTCTCTCTTTGCCTCCTCCCCTCACTACAATAAAGGATATGGTACTTATAGGTGGTTCCCAGGTTGTGATTTGGCGGTGTGTTCAGTTATATACCATGTGGCTAGCCGAGAATTTTGGAGAGTGGGTGGAGAGGGAAGAGTGGGGAAGGAGTTGTCGGTAGTGGGGGATAGTGGGGGTAGTGGTTTGTTTATTTTTTTTCAACTTACGTGGGGTGCCAAAAAAAATAATTTATATAAATGAATGGTAAAAAAAGTGTGTCTACAGCTACCCCTCTTTGCCCATAGTCGTGTAACGGGTATAGGGCAAAGATTAAAAGACACACTTTTCATTTCACATGAACTTATCCAAATTTAACATCGTCCATATAGGGGTCAACCTCCATCGAATATCCTCTGTTGTAAAGTTAAAATCTGACGTCGAGACTGGTTTGTCAATTTGGATTGAATCGTAAAATGACTCCCTCGCCATGAGGTTGAGTAGAACTGGAAACTTCTGAGCACGATATCCTTCATCATGAAGTTGAAATCGGACTCAGAGTATTAGAAAGTAGCTCCTGGATTGTCTTATGGCTCAAGATACTTCGTCGTGAAGGTGAGACTTGACCCCGAAGACTTTGGTGTTGTTGTGTTACAAATGACCCATTCGTCGTGAAGTTGAGCCTTGGAATTAGATATCCTTCGTCGTGAAGTTGAAATCCAATGTAAGTTGCGCTGTTTCAAGGCCAATATCCTCCACTGTGAAGTTGAAATTGACTCTGAAACTGGGTAGTTTATTGACAGACACTCATTCTTTTGGATATCCTTCGTCGTGAAGTTGAAATCCAATCTAGATATGGATGTTGATTGTGTGCACGATTCCGTTCGTCGTAAAAATAAAATCGTAGATGGCCCCTTCGTCATGAAGTTGAGCCTGGAATTAGACATCCTTCGTCGTGAAGTTGAAATCCAACTAAGTTGTATTGTTTTGAGTCCAATATCCTCCGCCGTGAAGTTGAAATTGGTTCTGAAACTAGGAAGCCCCTTCGTCGTGAAGTTGAGCCTCAAATGGTACAATATCCTCTATTGTGGAGTTGAAATCGTGGATGTGTGGGTACGATATCCTCCGTTGTGGAGTTGAAATTGTGGATGGCCTCTTCGTCGTGAAGTTGAGCCTTGACTTGAATATCATTCGCCGTGAAGTTGAAATCCAAGTATGTATTGTTTCAAGTCCAATATCCTTCGCTGTGAAGTTGAAATTGGCTCTGAATAAAATTAGGAAGTTGTTTATTGACAGTCAGCCGCCCCTTCGCTGTGAAGTTGAGCTTGTGTTGTCTCGAGTCCAATATCCTTCGCTGTGAAGTTGAAATTG